TCCGTATCGTCGGTTGCCTATCCCGATTGTGACGTAGCAGGTCATATCAACAAAGCGTCTCGTGTTAATTTTGTTGTTTTCGCAGCTTTGTTGTATTATTTAAGTTTTTGTGATTATCATTACTTTATCTGTATTACTTTATATTATTATTACTTTATATTTGATTATTATTATCTTGCATAATGGAAAATAGTGACATGTATGGATCACAAAATAAGSGGTGTTTTGTGCCARGATGCAAGAATACCTCAATAAGTGCTCCAAACAAACTCTTTCCAACCGTTCCTCATGATAATGCACGTAAAGTTTTATGGTTCAAAGCAGCTAGATGTGATGTTTCTAAATCAAAATCAATGTGTTTTTGTTGCGAGGATCATTTTAATGAAAGTACGAACAAAAAGCTAATAATGAGGCAGACAGAATATGCCTTCGATCGTACTCTGTGCTGTGGGCAAATTTTACCTTGTACAGTGCACAAAAAAACCTCGCGTTTCAATTTCACATATCCGATATCACCATATTGTTGTCGTGATACCCAAAATACAAATTTAAGAGTTTATTTTACTTTTAAAGCAGCCATGTGTATAGGTTAGGTTAAGTTGAATAAGTGACATTCTATATATTAGTTACCTAACTTAAACCAATACAGACAGATTAGTATATTAAGGAGAGAGTAACTAATAATGAATTTACGGATTTTTACTTACGCTGCTGCTTGGACACCCTTAAATTAGACTGAATTAAAGCGTTCGCCGTTTTTTTAAAATTCGGTAACCATAAAATATGTCCACATGGTAAATTGTTTGTTGACGCTTTAAGGAATCCTTCTGAAGTCATTTTTTAGTTTAACACAAACTATAAGTTATTTAAATCCACAAAATAATTAATTAATGAAACACAACCACACAACTAAACACTATGCACAGACCGTAAACAATCCGCCATTTATATGACCAGAGACGTCACAACCAATAGAATTGCGTTTTAGAGATTCATGAATAATTTGAATTTGAGCTGAATTTGTTTATTAAATATTTAGCAAAATAACAATATATAGATAGTATAAACTTAATTAATCTTTCATATATACATATTACCATAGATCAATGTTCAGTTTGCAGGAATTTTTGATACTTTTGAATTGAAATTGAAGAAATGTTAGTTAATCATTGCAAAACTCACCAGAAAAATGTAGTGAAAAGTGTATCGCGCCAATTTAATTCACTGTAAAAAAACATGAAACAAAAATGAAATTTTGTACTGTTCACACCAAAAGCTTTTTCGATAAATGTCCAGGAGCTCAAAGTGTTTCCATAACCGGTTTAGGCGTTGTGATTTTTTAAGTACAGACATGCACTTTTGGGTTGTATTTCTTCCGTACTGGAAGTTGTAGAACTTCCAAAAAATGCACTAGTTAACTGAATCAACTGGAATTTTTCACACCTCTCGAGGAAAGTTTCTACTATAAATAGCCGAAAGTTCAAGAGTTTACCATCTTCAGTTTAGGAGTGGAGATTTTTGAAGTACTGGCTTGCATAATGGGCATTTTTTCACTAGCTGACAGTTGCAGATTTTTTCAAAAGGCAAATAATGAATCCAGTACGGTGAAATGTTTCATACTTCATACAGCGTCTTCTATACGAGCCTAAAAGTTCAAAATTTTTTCGCCCCCAGTTTGGAAGTCGTTTTATTCTTGGTACGAACAAGCATTTTTGGGCCATGTTTTTCTCTACCTAAAAGTTGATTGTTTTCGAAAAAGCCAAATAGCAAATCGAATCAAGTAAAATTTTGTGCACTTCTCAACAAAAGATTCTTTTAAAAAAACTGATAAGCGCAAAATTTTCCCAGCTCCGGTTTACAAGATGTAACTGTTTAAACGGGGACATGCACCTTTGGGTCATATTTCCCACTAACTGATCGTAGCATTTTTTTTGGAAATCAACGAATTATTAGCAGCAAATGGAATTTTGGGCACTCATTAACACAAGCTTCGTCTATAAGTACTCAACAGCTCAAACTTTGGTAGTCCCCAGTTTAGGAGTTGTAATTTTTTATGTACGAACATGCACTTTTGAGCCAAATCTCTGACCAGCTGAAAGTTGCAGATCTTCTAAAACATCAACGAAAGGATCGAATCGAATGAAATTTCGCACACTTTTCAACCAAAGTTTTCTCTATAAGTTTACAAATTTGCTAATAAGGAAATGCTCCAAAAACCATTCTAAATGCACCCATACTAGAAAGACGACATTCTCCTTTCAGAGCTACTCACACACTGTTTTGGAAAAACCTCAAAACAAGTCTGTAACAAAAACAGAAAATATGGACGTCTGGGGCCCCGAGTTTCCTCTTCTCAAAAGAAAGAATCAATCCAACCAACAGATTCCACCTTTTCAACCAAAAAAACAGCCAAAACCAATCAACTCAATGCCCCCACAATCCCAAAATCCGAAAAATGGAGTCAACGTAATCCATCCAAACCCAAGAATCCAAGTAGAAATTCTTGAGTTCTTCACTCGCATTCAGACAGGAAAGTCCAGTATCGTAAAAATTATCTTATTTTCTCAATATAACCGCCGTTTCGATCATTTATTCGACTCTTTCTCAAGAAGCTTTCTTATATTAAATTGAGATTTGGCTGTTGGCCCATGGGAGTACCACCAAATATCGCTTTGTTCTATTTCTAGTGCTTAATTTCCAACTTTTAAAGAGATAGAAGCCAAACCTTGGAACAACTTGAAGAGTTGATATTTCCGAGACCGTAGGAAATAGTGGAAATTTTGCAAGCTTTTCTGGGAAAGATTTCTCTTGATGACTACTGTAATTTTCGTTACGTTGTCAGGCTGCCCAAATTGCCCCGAAAAGCTTAAGAAAGACCTTCTGTTCAATCTGAGTGCATTTTCTCCCGCCACTCTCTATTTAACACTCACAGTCAGAAATTTTCTCTAAATCATACAGAGTGTCTTGAAATTGATGGCTACAAATTGAAACGACTCAGATAAAAGACATTTGATTATTGACGAAAATAACTTTAATTGTTGATTATTATAACTAATTTTTCCAGCAATAAATTTGTGGACTATTTTAAAGCAAACGTTTCAATTTATAATCATCGGGACCAAAAACGCTAC